ATCCACAAACAAACGAGTCACAAGCATTCCATTGGAAAGGCCAACACCAACAAAAATTCATCCACAAACGGTGATATCAAAAATTTGGTTAGGCAAGGCCCATTGTCTTTGCAACCATGCATTAGGATTGTTTCTTTTGATTCCATGGCAAGCATTAAGCTTGAGTCTAACATTTTCCACAATCTCCTTATAAATGGAAACCACATCTCTATAGGAATTTTTAAAAACCCTATGATTCCTCTCCCTCCAAATCATATATATTGAGGTGGCGAGCATCAATTTGCCAATCAGCTTTGGAAAGGCCTTTCCCTTCATATTTGCAGCATATCAGTTAACCAAATCAGGTCAATCAAGTCTTGGCCATTGAACATTCACTTTTCCTTTCAATGAAACCCATATTCTCTCGGTGAAAGGGCAATCAAAAAAGAGATGGTTATGAGTTTCCACTTCTTCTCTGCAAAACACACAATGAGTTAATTGAATAACACCATATGATATAAGCTTGTGTTTGGTGGAAAGCCTATTTTGAACAGCCAGCCATAAAATAAAACTATATCTAGAAACAGCACCAGAAAACCATACAATATCAACCCAAGTTTGCGTCTAGCCCTTCACTCTAAGCACCTCCCAAGCAAATTTAGAGCAAAAATCCTTGGTTCTAGATGGCAACAACAAGACACAGTCACTCTGACTCAGGTCAGGTTTCATATTAGGAGACATACCACTGAGCAGCTCCATTATATCCCCACTTGTCGTCGGCCAATCCCAATCACCATTATTAATGATAGATATAACTTTAGCATCTCGCCCAAGCCCTGATTCCCTAATAATGGACTCTCCCTTATGCTGGTAGATAGAACCTATTGGGTGCTATGGATCAAACCAGAGAAATATTGAGGCACTATTCCCAATCTTGTAATTCACCATTGCTAAACTTTCCTTTCTCAGATTTAGAATCTTTCGCCATGCCCATGATGACTTTTGAGGGATCTTCACATTCCAGAAGCTCCTACCTTTTAGAAGATACCAATAAATCCAATCCACCCATATTGAGTTGTCCCTTTTGCTAATAACATTCCATAGATGCTTCATAATAGCTACCTTGTTCCACTGTTCCATGCTTTCAAACCCAAGTCCTCCTTCTTCCTTTGGGAGACACACTTTGTCCCACGCCACTTTGGCTCCAGATATTTTAAGATCCGTACCAGACCATAAGAATCTTCTCATAATTTGCTCCACTGCTTTGACTACTTTTTTTGGCAATATAAATAAAGAAGACCAATAACCTTGAATTGAAAAGAGAACTGAATTGATCAGTTGTACTCTGTCAGCATATGAAAGTGATTTGTTGCACCAGGAACTTACCTTGGCAGTAATTCTCTCAACCAGCGACTGACAATCCCCAGTCCTCAATTTAGTGGTAATGAGAGGGACACCCAGGTATCTCATAGGCAATTCATCTCCTGGAAATCCCATTAACTGCATTATTTTCACTTTCTCCACATTATTAATGCCAGAGCAGTAAAAATGACACTTGCTTGGATTAGCTTTAAGGCCAGAAAGTTCTTTAAAAATATGGAGAGCTTCCTTGATAGTTCTAATTGACTCAATATTTTCTTTACTGAAGATCATAACATCGTCATCAAAGCAAAGATGAGACATATCCTCCTTTCCACATCTCCAATGATGATTGAATTTCCCCAGCTCAGCTGCCTCCTTCATAATGCCATTAAAACCCTCCATTGCGAGCACAAAAAGATAAGGAGACAAAGGATCTCCCTGTCTTAAACCTTTTTCCCCCTCAAAATAACCTTTCAACTCACCATTAAGACTCACTGAGTACATAGGGGAAGTAATACACGTCTGAACCCATCTAATCAACTGTTGGGGGAAACCTATGGCTTGCATCACTTCAAGAATAAACTCCCACCTTACATTATCATAAATCTTAATAAGATCAATTTTCAATGTACATCTAGGACTCCCTCTATCCAGATGATAGTTCCTTAAGAGTTCTTGGGAAAGAAGAATGTTATCAGAAATTCTTCTACCTTGTATGAACGCAGTTTGAGATTTGTCAATTAACCCAGGCAGCACTCCTTTGATTCTGATGGCCAAAATCTTTGAAATACATTTATAAATGATGTTGCAACATGAAATTGGCCGATAATCGTTGAGCATAGAAGGATTAGGGACCTTGGGAATCAATGCAATAATGGTAGAATTAACTTCCTTTAACAGCTTTCCAGAAACAAAGAACGACATGATGGCATCAGTTACTTCCTCACCCACAATTTGCCATGTTTTCTTGAAGAATCCAGCGGGAAAACCATCAGGACCTGGGGCCTTCCCATCCTTCTTTGAGAATAATGCACGTTTGATTTCATCTCTGGTGACATCAAGGGACAATTGAGCTGCAAGATCTAAAAAGATTCTCCTTCTGATGTAGTGATTAATCCACTACAAAACTTGTTATTAACTTCCCCCAAGAGAAACATGTAACTGAACGGGAAAAGGATGTAAACCCCTATGACCGTCGATGCCTCCAGTCGCCCTAACCCTCTTCTATTCCAATCGTCCTTTCATCACTGCCACACCATATCATCCTATCTTTACAAGTCATAATCTTAGAGGACTCTTTAATGTACAAGTTTCACACCCACTAAAATTAGATCAACAGACAACCCTATCACTAGTACAGTTAGTTAGTTGGAGATAATCATCTGATTTTCACAATAAAAAAATAAAAATATTAAATAAAAATGACATAAATGTCTTCATAACTTAACTCTTCCCATGATTCTAGTGATCATCAAACTCAAATACTGCATTAATTTACCCCATCTCAGAATAGACAAGGCCTCATTGAACATACACACAAACACTTTGTGTGTGTGTGTGAGTGAGAGAGAGAGAGACTAAAACTAACAGTTATGGTATAACAATATCAGAGAGAAGATGTTTAAGACATGATTAAACCACTGCATTCATGTAGGCCTTAGTTTTAGTCTTAAGTTAGGTTACATAACTCACAAGATTTTTTTTTTCTTCAATTTGGACTATTTCTCGATTTGTGCGTGTCATCCTTGCGCAAAGGTCATGCTAATCTTCTCTGTATTGTTCTAATTTTATCGAATGTCCCCAAAGGGACACTCACGAGAATAATCAGAGAAAAAAAAGATTATTGCACGAGGAAGACTTCTCAAAAGGTGGGCTTATGGTTAGATTATGATCAGTGAGTCTCTAAAGGAAAGTCCTCCTAATTGTGTGTAAGAATCCTACAATTAAAGACAATTTGAACCAATTCTAATATTGAACTTGAAAAAAAAAAAGAGAGAGAGAGAGAGACAGATGGAGGGTCATTCTCAGCATAATTGGAGAAAAATATGAAAATGGAGCTGAGTCCTTATATTGAAAAAGTGCTTAATGGGAAAATTTTTTCTCTAATTCATGTCACCTTTTGTATGTTTACCTTTTATTCTTACTAGGGTATTCATTAAAAATTCTTAAAAGCCTGAATATTTGATTTTATTTGCTGCCCTAGCTAGTAATGTGATAGTTGACATTAATAACATCAACTAATGCAGCGTTGTTTAGTATTTCAACTTCAAAGAAAATAAATAGTAACCCGTAATAGATAAACATTTGTAGATTGATAGTAAGATTCTCTATAATACGCTCTTCCCCCATTTTCATCTTGGGTAATATCATCTACCCTATTCTTTCAAGTTGGAAACTGGGGTATGTAGTCGAGTCTCCAATTAATACATGGTGATTAATTTACGCAAGAGGAAAATTGATGAAAAAGTATCGATTGTAATCTGGATTTGGTAGATTAGATAGTGTTTACACTTAAATTTTTACCAAGTAAAGTATTGATTTGTGTTTGGACTTCTGAGCTTATATTACTCTATTAATTACCACTAAACTCATCATAAGTTAAAAGTTAGAATTACAAAACATGCAAAAAAGCCTTCATTGCTTCTTCTTCTCCAATTTTTCCCAATACTCATTTTCCCACATCTCCACTTGCCTTGCTGATTTTCCCTTTCTCTCAAAAAAGGCTCCAAAAGCCGGAGGATCATAGGGAGGAGGCATGGTGCAAGGAATCGAGTCGGCTGGAGACTTCACCAACGATTCCTCCATGAACTTCCTCCAGTTTCCGTCCGCCGGACACGCCATTGTTTCCGGGCAAAGCTCTAAGGCTTGTGGTGGAATGGTAGGTTTAAACTTCAAAAGCTTTGCATATTCGTTTAAGAGATGGAACATGTAATCATACACATAATCCATCTTCACATCCTCTTGAATAAAGCGGCTTGCAGCCTCCCCAATGGCTTGTGCCTGGTTTGCATGCATATTCATCCAATTTAGAAGTTAACAAAAGGGATTAAAGACACACTGGGGTGGCAATTATTGACACTTAAAACCCAAAATGAAAGTAGCGGGTTAGAATTGACATGTAATCTGGAAATGACATGACCCACGAATATGACTAATAAATGGGCCGATTAATGTTAGACATGAAAATACCAACGTAAAATATAAGAAACTTGTGTACTTAGTATAATATGGATAAATTTTTTGATTTTTTTTTTTAATTTTGTTCATTCCTTGATGTGATGATGTCATAATCTTTTACATTAGACAATTTTTTTTATGATTAGTAAATAAGACTAGTTAGTGTTAGAATATCTGACATGATTAATTAAATATGTTAAGTTATTATTGACTAGTATGTACTACGAACCCAAAACAACACGATACAATGCAACTAATTTGCTAGGCCCAACTATGAATAGGATTAATAATTGAGCCGACCTACTCGGGTTCGACTTGAATAAGACTCGCCTCAAACTAGTGTTTTAAAATAAGTTAAGTTTGAACAATTTTTTAAACTTGTTTAAAAAAATGAGATTAAAAAGTTCGGCTCATTTATATGTAAAATAATAAGACTACTTAGATTCAACTCATTTTTCAAACGAGTCAAGTTTGAACAATTT